AAGAGTGCTAGTGCCTGGGAGGATTTAATTGAACTGGCAACCAGATTCCCCGCCAGGCAGGTGGCCAGGAGCAACCCCTGCCTCCCAGGACCACAAGTGCCTGATGACTGATCTCTGATCTCTGGGAGGTCATCCATAGACCGTGCTGTGCTGTGTTTTTCTCTGCTCAACTAAACTATAGACAATACCTGTACAGTTTTTAGCGAATCTTGCATCCCCATAGTAACCCGGAGCGCATCGCTCGCACTTGAACCCAGTGGTGTTGCGCAGGCAGTTGCGGCACTGGCCAGTCACTTCATCGCAGTCTTCAAAAATCAGGTTTGGGTCTGAGTTGCCACTGCAGTCGCATTTTTTACAAGTGCTTCCAATTAGCAAAGGGTTTCCATAGTAACCAGGGGCACACCTGAAAGGAAGAGCAAGCCCAGCAACGATGAGGGATGACATTCCCGTCTGAGGTACCGTTTTTTCTCTGACCTTATTTATGTCACCAGGAATTGATGACGATTTGCAGCTACTAATGCACAGAAGGCAAATTAGGAGCTGTATTTCTGTGGAGGCTGTTTTGTGCTCTAATCTCAGTCTTTACAGTTATATGTTTTTCCCTTCTTGAACACTCCTGGTCTCAATCACACCAGTCTGTTATTTTTTGTGTGTGTGTCTTTAGCAGTAAAATGACTTGTTCCCCATTGTTTTAAAAACTATGACAGAATGACCTTGGCAGAGCAGCTGCTCTAGTGTTTATTTTGGTCTCTGAGCTTTGGATCTCACCAACTATATTGTGTTATATAGGAAACTGGGGTAAGAGACTGCATTTCATGATGCTGAAACTCAGGGGAAGTTCAGACCTTATTTTCGTAGCAATATAACAAAGTACTAACCCCAAAAGGTTTACATAAATAATTGTATAGTCCAGCATTGGGATGCCTTCTGGGTTTTGCAAAACAGAACAGGCACTGAGCCAGCATCCATTTCTCAGGTTTGTTTGAAGTTAGCCTGTTGGCTGAGGGCAAAAGGCTGAGGGCAGCCACCCGCCCCGGAGGTCCTGGAGGATTCCTCTGTTGGTTTGAAGGAGGGAGGGAGAGAGGCGGGTAACAAGCACCACAAAGAAGGCCTAAAATGGGTCCAAATTGCTTTTCATGTCTTGTCATATTTAGGAAGTATTTCAGTAGAAATCTTGCAACATCTTAAAATGGAAGAGATGTTGGAACCATAGTGGTTTTTGAAAGTCTAGACAAACCAGGGATATGTGGTGGTGACATTCCAGGGTGACCAGTGGCCCTCAGCTAAGACAACAGGTAAAAGGCTTGGTGTCATCATTTGGAAAGAAAGGAGAGGGTCTCAGTTAAAGGAGCTTCTGATGGTGGCAGGGAGTGTACTTAATCCCACAAGCTGGAGGGACTTTTGCAAAACAACCAGTGAGGCAAACACTGCGCACTAGAGTGGGCAGGGAGCAGCTAATTGGAGAAAATCCTCGAGCAAGGGCTTTGCTGGAGGCTGGAGCAGAGGCTGATGGACTGCAGGGGTCAGCTGGCAGGATAGGGGCAACCCACACCATTCACAGTGTCACTGTGGGGTGGCAGGAGGGTCCATGACCCACCAGCCTGAGTGGGGTGCAGAGATCAGGGACTCACACTTCCAAAGTGGGAATGAAGAATTGCGGCAGGGAGGGGGATAAATAGCTGGTGTAGCAATTTCTGACTGAAGAAATTGGAGGACTGAAAAGTTGTTGCAGTGATTTAGGTAAGGAGTAGTTATTATATTTCATCCTGTTTTATCACCCTCTTGTCCTTGTAGTTTCTCCCATCCATAAAGTCCTGTTTTAAGATGCTGTTTGTTCTGCTCTTTGTGGCAGGGAGGGTGAGCTCTTAGGCAGTTTAGTTTAATTTTCCCAGGTTCTGGCTGGGGACCTGATTTGAGGTCTGTCGTCTCCTAAAATCCAAATATAGTCAAATCCTGGTCGTGCTATGTCTGAATGATGAACATGTGGGAGATCTGATAAGCACTTCCAGTTTTGATCTGTTCCTATATTTGCTGATTTTTTTTTTTTAATAAAGAAAGTGATTTTCTCAACGCTCCTTTGTTCATGTTCCAGTCCTGAACCCCCACAGTAAAAACACATAAAACTTTAAGAATCTTAATATAAACCACTTGGCTGCCTCAGATACTGCTTTTGCCAGTGACAAAGACTCTGTTTGTCTCTTTGCAGCACTGCCAGAATCTTTGGTGCAGATCTTATCATTTGGGTGACCCAGATATAAAGAATAAAAGTGTGACCTGACGTTCTGTGCACCCCTTGAAGAACTGAATGCGACACTGAGTGCAGAGTGTGATTTAACTGACTTTGGTGGAGTCACTCCCCATTCCCGTGGGAGTTACAGCAGGCAATGATGGGTAATGCTACTATTCAGTCATGCCAAAAGTCTTGCTATAATTTTCTAATATTTCAGCCAACGTGAGACTGGAGTACTTTCCCAAATTTCAGAATATCAGTATGTTTATGAGGTTTGAACAAGAAAAAAAACCCTCTGTGTTTTTAACAAACAAACTGTAGAACCATTTGATTTATTCTGAACTCTCAAAATCTTGCAGAGTTGCTTTTTAATTTTCTGTAGTTCAGTATTTTCCAAATTATCATCTGTCTAATGTGGTCACCAAGTCACAGAAGCCACTGAACAGTGCTGGGAACAGACTGGCGTTTTGCTTACCGCTATCTGCCTCTGGCTGTCAGCCAGCATCTCCCAAAGACTGCACGCTATTCCCATCAGGCCCATAACATCTGCCCTCTCATCAGGGCAAGGTGATTTTTTTCCTTCTTTCTGAAATATACCATTCAGTTCACTTGCCAGAAATGTTGTGGACAGTTCCTTACATCCTCACAGATATATTTTGTGAGTGCTGCTTTTTATGACCATCTGACTCACTTTTATTAGCCATATCTCCTCATCTGAAGTAGCTGTCTAAAGCAAATAGAAACTTCTAGAGCTGAAAATAAATATGTCACCTCTGCTTTCCCCTTGCTACTCCCATGCATCAGAGGGTTGGACTGCACTTGTCCCGGCTCTTTTGAATAGTTGGTAGCATGTGAGAAGAGCAGAGGCGGCTGGATGAAAATTTACTGTTCCGTCTTTGCACTTCATGGCTTAAAAACAGAGGCCTGCAGTAAATGTCTTTTTCCACCATTGTATTAATAAATGGCTCTTTGTTGCTTACAAAGATTATTTCCTCTCCCATAATAAAGCTGCTGAGTTATCTCTGTTTCATTTTGCAGCCATGTTTGCTTCCTGTAATTATTGGTAAGAGATTAACTTCCTCTTCCCTGGCAATGCCAAAAGAACCTTTTTCCTCTGTTCTCTTTGGACACTAACGTATCATTTCAACAGTTATTTTCTTAATATTTGGACATTAACAAAACTGGGATTTCATCTGCTACCACCTTAATGCCTTATTGCTGGAGTCCTATGATTCATTCCTAAATTTAACATCGGGAAGGTGGTTTTCCCAGTTCTTAAAAAAGGCCTCCATGATTTCACAACACCATTTGCTGGCAAACATAATCTGGATAGGTTTGTGCAGCACGAGAAAGCCTCCTACATGCATGCCAGAGGAAACGGAGCACGTTGCCTCCCGGTGTGCTGCTCTAGAGGTCTCTGGTGCTGCCGAGGGAGGGGTGTCCTGCAGCTTGCTGCTCTGTGGTGCCCGTCACCCTCCTCTGCGGAGAGCTGGGAGGGAGGGCGGTGGGCAGGATGTAGCCTTCCTCTCCCTGGGGACACCAGCTGTTATTTGGGCTGCGGGGAGGGACAGGGGCAAAGACCGGTCCTCCTGCCAGTGTGCTGACGACGCGATAGCTGCCGGTGGGTGTAAGGAGTGGTGTCAGTGCCAGCAGCAGTACGTGCGGGGCAGGGACTTAGTCTTTAGCAAGTGGACAGGGACGAGCAATGCATTTCTCCTGAGCCTTAGAAATGCTTTTCGTCATTGCTGACATAAATGGGAGTATGACCAGGAGCCTACCGGAAGGAAAATCCCGTTTGCTGCTGCTTGCCACGCATGTACCCCAGCAGTTAGTCAAGGGCGTAACATGGTGACCAGGACAGACTTGTTTCTTTCTGTAGCTTTTTCTAACTCGTCTATGCAGCTTTGCCTTCCTTGAGACAGAGGCACTGTGTGAGCCTGTGTAGGGGCTATTAGAAAACAAAGCTGATGCTATATTCTGCTGTTACTGCACATCTGCTACTCATTTCATAGGATCTGAATTGCTTGTAGTCTAGGCTGACATTTTAATAACCATTAAGAAACCTTACTGACCTTTTAATTGTCTGCGTTATCCTTTGTATACGAATCTGACATTTTGGAAGAACAAAAGAATACAGCCATAGGCCTGGAAACAAGGGTGGGCTTTTTGGTTTTGTGCCATCTGTCTAAAGGGCTTTCATTATTGCTGTCACCACGTTAGTGACGCGGAGGTAATACACTGATGTTTTTGCATCATCTGTAAGGGCAAAAGTCTCCACTCTTTGTCATCTTACATTCTTCATACTGATTTCTCTTTGCATCTTAAGCATCCCCTTTCTCCCTTCTCTGTTAGTTATGTTAAGTATCATTTGAATTCAAGGCTTGTCCATTAATGACAGTCACTGAAGTATTAAACACTTCAGGCGGCTTAAGAAAAAGCAAAATGAGGTGTTCAGGAAGCCAGCGTCTGAGCCATCCTATACCCCTCAGACTTTGTGTTAGAGCAGCTTTAATTTATTGGCTGCTCAAGAAGAATTCCTGAATTATAACTGGTCCTCAGACATTCATTGAAACAGCATCCATGTTTGTTCATAGTGAGTAAGATGGCCCTTTATGATGTTGGAGAGCAAGTTATATTTCTGCTGTACAGCTCCATTTATTTATGTACTTTCTTATTTAGAAGGTATTTACAGGAAAATGTTTATGGGCATAAAGGGAAGTTGAAAAGCAACACTGGCCTATGGTTGTTTGCTCGACTTTATTGAATGATGTCTGTGAAGTGCATTTAAAATTTAACTAAAAAGACTGCATCTGCTCATTAAGGATTTGACTAGAAAATGCATTTTCTCCTTTGCTGTTGAAAAATTTATTTGGTAGAAGCCTGCTATAAAGGTTTAGAGTGGTGAATTGCAAGACGAATCTACATGATGGATATTTTTCACTACAGCTGCTGTTTCTGATTTGAATTTTGTACTTTGATTCATAAATTGTAGTAATTTTAGCAAGATCACCACATGAAGGTACACCAAGTGCAAGAACTGGTTCAAAATACATCAGATGTACACATCTGTCTTATCCTGACGTGTCTCCATAGCAAGTTCTTATGTTTTTTAGTAGACACTGAATGAGATTTTTAACAGACATGATTCAACCTGGTGAAAATACATGCACAAGATTTCTACCCTATATGAGAAGATTCCCTCAAAGACTTCTGGACCTCAGTATTGTTAACAAGTAAGTCATCCTATTAGTTTCTTACCTTTCACAGTTGGGTCCTGCATAGTTTTCCTTACAGACACAGCGCACGCTTCCGCCTTTTCTGTAACAGGAGACTGCAAAGCTGGAATTTCATTAGAATGAAGAGTTAGAATAGCAGGCAATGGCAAACACTTGGGAGTATCTCTTTATTACATTGTGGGCATTTGCTGTCGCTGTAAGTTCTGGCTTCTGGTTACTTATTGCTGAATAGCTGTTCTTAAGCTCTGTATGTTATGGACATTATACCCCTTGCTTAATCTTTATAATGAGTGTAGAAAGCACTAATTAGTGTGTAGCACTGTACTATAAATACAGATACGTATAAGTTCCTGCCTTGCAGTGTAGATCAGACACACCTGCAGGTTTTGATACCCACATTTTACATAAAGGACTTAGGCTAGATGTGTATGTCATGTAAAGCCAATTGCTTCCTGTCTTATTCTAAGAGGTGAAATATTGCTCATGAAAGACAGTGCAGTGAGCACTTTGGGAACATAGTCTCAGAAATGGTGCAGCAGTATCCTATGCAAATCCTACAGTTTTCCTCAAATCCAGTCTGGAAGTACTGAGTGGTGAAAACTGACCTCAGTGATGCCATCCTCATTTACAGTAACAGAGGCTGCTCTGCCGTTTCCCTGCATAAGCTGGAAACAGTTGGGGACCTTTTCGGGGACCAACACACCAACTAGTGATACTGGTTGCAGTAATGGCTTGGGCTGTAATTTTCGCTGCTCTGATTGTAAATCATGGATTCTCTTGCTTTCTTATGTTTTCAGGGTTTAGAAAATGTGTAAGTAAATATGAGACCTGAGAAACGGAAGCAGACAGATATGGAAAGTGCAAATTGTATACACTTCAAACACAGTGATGGACATGACTTAAGTACATTTGCAGGAAAAAGACATAGAGTCCTAAAGATGTTTCCAGTTATTTTGCAATATATGTGAGTAATTTCCTGGCAGCCCTGGAGCGCGGCCAGAACACTGAGGGGCAGCAGTTGCCAGCTGCAGGCCTGTGGTCACTAAAATGTGGGTCCCGAGTCATACAGTGCTGGGCAGTTGTGACCAGGTTGCATCCTTTTTGCACAGAAGGACCAAAGACTCAGAGCGATGAGAAAGAGCATGATCCATGCACTGCTTGTCCCAGGAATGAGCAACATTGAAAAGTGACAAGAATTCCTGTGTAATTTCAGTTCCCACCAGCATTTCTCAGCTGGTGGGACAACCAGGGTCAAATAAATCTATGTCTGGATCTGTGCTGTCTCAAAAAATTTCATATAACCAGGGAGAACATAAAATGAGATTCTTCTCACAGAATTCACAAATTAACTTCAATAAAGCTTTTTTTGAGAACATATTGAGAAAATCATAATGGTTTGGCAGCCTGCCTCTTCTTTTACAGAGGCTAATTCCTTCACGTAGTTGAAAAAAACCACACTGTGGATTTAAGTTATGAAATAAGACTAAAGCCTTCCCGAAAGTTTTTTTTTTTTTTTTGGGTCTTTTAGGGGAAAAAATTTCATAAAATTCCCTCAGGTTTGAAAATAAGTAACATCTGCTGGACTGTGAATCAGTGTCCCTCCTCCTTTTTATTTTTTCCAAAGTGATGACATTACACTTTGTGTGTAACGTCCAAAAGTTATTACAAAATTTCCCAGGATAGCAGATATAAAGATAGCCTGGCCAGAAAATCTAGAGACACACAGATGAATCCTAAGAAAAAATGTGTATCTGATGACTCTGTTCTGGTCACTTTGTCTAGATATTATGAATCTTCTGGCTATTTCCAAAATAAAACAGAGCACAAAACAACATCCTTTGGATGGTCTTTATTTAAGGCTTTTAATGCCTCTCTGGTAGTTACTGTTTTGCCTTAATATAAATAGAGTGGAATTAATGGAGGAAATGTAAGGAAAAAAAAAAAAAGAATGCTTGTTCTTTGAATTTTGTTATGCAAGGCTGAATGTTGCTCAATCATTATTATTTGTGTGTTCCAGCCCCAGCTGACAGTTATTCACGTGGTCCGGTCTCTCTCATGCAAGAAACTTAACAGGCAATTTCTGCATGTTATTTAAATAGGGGTATGAGGAAAATTGGGATCGGATATTACTTTAACTGTTGCCTTCAGGACTTTTAGAAGGGAAAAGTCTGAAAAATGGGAGTGGATTTTTACTGAGGTAGTTTTAAAGGGGTGACATATCATAGACCATTTAGTATCCTGAGATGGAAGGGACCCATGAGGATCATCAGGTCCAACTCCTATATTGCTGTTGATGCTCAAGCATCCACATTCAGGCTTCTTGTAACTTTTGTTCTCCCTTCTCCAACCCAATGCTGCTGTCCTTACGGGTTTGGGGCTTCCTTCTCTCTAGTGGTCTGGAACAGGAGAGACGTATGTCCGTAGCAGGAGGGCTAAGGAACATGCTGAAGCAGGGAATGCTCTGGGAGGTCTATCTCTGTGCCCATCTCCCATAGTGCTGGCAGACACAGCCTGTAGCTCAGGTCCCTGCTGATCCCACCATACCGAGCTCTCCTGGACTGGCAACCCGGTTGGCTCCCTACTGTTGGGGGACATGGCCACGGAGCCTGGTGGGGTGTAGGGCTGGGCAGGGGGCTGGGTGGATGAAGACCCAGCCATGCTCTGTCAAATCACACTGTAGGGAGGACAGACTAGACCTTGCTTAGTAGAAACTGGGTCTTGTGTGGTAGTGCCTCAGGCAAAGTGCAGTCCAGGTTGTGGTGGAAAGAGCTGCTTCTTACACAACAGTGGCTGCTCTATGCCTAACAAGTTAAAAAAAAGTCACTTTGATAAGGAAAAAGCACTGCTTTCAACTGTTGTATATCTGCTATTTCTGGCATTACAGCTGCTACTGAAACTGAAGGCAGCGATCTGCTTTTTCTGTGAGTTCTCACTCACTCCTAAGCTGTTTTACATGTGAGCAAAGCCAGGTTCTTCCTCTGTCTCTGGAGGATTTTTTTCTGTAATCCAGGCAAAGCTGCAGTTTTTCAGCAATAGCTGTTCTCCACCCCATGGCTCTACTCACATGTCTGCAGCTCGCTGCGAAAGCCAAGGGGTGATCTGTGGGAGTTTGGCCGGAGCAGTTTTGCTCCATTGCCATTTTGAGTCTGTGCCATTGAACAGCTGAGCAAAATGTGGCTCATCCCACCTTAAGGCTGTATGAGTAATCCTATAGCAACCGCAAACAAACACGAGGAGGAAATTCCCCTTTGTTGAGAAGCCCTGCTGAAAGCAAAATGGGAAACAACACAAGTGGAATAGGTATCTCTCTAAAAAATAGCTTTAACCTGTTGGCAAGTTTGCTAGCATCTCCTCTGAGCGCTACAGTGGGATTGCAGAGATGGCTGTCTCGGAGCACGGGCCTCAAGCGAGAGGAAGCTGATTAATTTCTTTCATCTGCACTGTGCCACTACGTTTCTAATAGCTGGTCATGGTTTGTAGTTGTATTTTCTCCTCCCTCTTAGTAAGAACTGATATGAGTACTTAAGGATATTTTACACCATCTAAATTAAATACTGTTTCCTGTGGTTGTAAATATGAGCAGCTGGTAGTCCTTTTATTTTCCCCTGGTTGGCAAGGGCAGAAACCTTTGTCTCCTGCATCCAGGAAGGGATGCTGACCCCACCTTGGAAAGGGCCAAAGCCAACCCAAATCAAAGGGAACCAAAGACACCATACGTACTTGGCAAGTGCTGGCAGGGGGCAGGGGCAGGGCTGGCAGAACGTGGGCACTCCTCTGACGACGTCACCAATGAAGCCATCCGGACATTGCTCACAGTGCTCTCCTGTTGTGTTTCTCTGGCAGTCCTTCCATGGAAAGAGAGAGTAATGAAAGTTAAACAGTGCTGCCTAATTCAGAAGGGAATCATCTATCCAAAGACCTGGCCAAGCAGAATGATGCCAGACCCCAACCCTTCAAAGCATTGATAGATGAAGCCAGACCAGCTAGCACCCCTACAAATAGAAAAGTTATAAGTGATTCCACTGACCAGCCAGCAAGTGTTGGCAAGGTGTAGTACAGGACAAAACAGACATATGTGCATGCCAGGTGCCGGAGCAGAAGCAGCACTGCCTGTTGTCAGAGATGTCAGAGTTACTCAGGTGTAGCTGGCAGCTCTGTTTTGATTGCATGTGCCAGTAGGAAAAAATCCCTTTTACTGACATCAAAATAAAATGAAAAATATCTGCTGGTAAATACTATCAACAGATTTCAGCCTTGATACAGGTTTCACCGAGGCTGCTTCTTGGACTTGATGGTTGGAAAACAGCATGAAGGGAATCTCTCTGCAAATGGTGGCTAATACGCTAGTGGCTCTGACGTTTTCCTCCTGGGATGAAAAGTGTTACAGCATGAAGGGATGTGTTATCACTACACCTTGTTCTCAGCCTTAAAGCAGGCCCACTTAGTGGAAGGAAGAAGCAGGAGTCTTCCGTAAGTGTCTTTTCTATAGAATACAGAGCAACTGTGCAAGATGTCCCTCACTTTATAAGCAAGTTTCATGTCCACAGTTTTATGTTTGTGAGGAACTAGGCTTCCTCATGCAGAGGTAAATCAGACACCAGCTGATATTTTGGGGCTCCACAGATATAAATCAAGCTGTGCTATTTCAGACAGAATATTTGTTCCGAAATACTCCGTGATGACGAGTACAAAATTGTGTCTCTCAGATAATATTTTCAATCAGAAAAAAATGTCAAGCTTTAGTGTAAACAATTCTAAATGGAATTTGTGAGCCTGCAAGCTTAACTAAGCATTGTTATATCTTTTACTTTACAAATGGACACACTTAGGTACCACTATGTGGACTTTCTCCTAGGCACATGGCAAGGTGGTGGGTGACTGGCAGAGTGCATGAACAGTACTCCTGCACGCTGCAGGACTCCTGCAGACTCCTGTGCCCCTCTCCACTTCAGCAAAATACCCAGAAGTTACCATCAAGAAAAAACCCTCAACCCTCCAAATTCTAGCTGTCTCGATGAATCACTTTAAAAGAGTAGGAAGGGTGAAGAATTGCTTTTCTTTCTTACATCTGTGCAATGAGTTTTGCAATGTCCCTGAATCAGAACTCTCCCATTACATGACTTTGTACAGATACAGCACAGATGCAAACAGCTGTGCAAGGCTAGAGGCAGCAAGGAGTCAGCTCCATGGCAGAAATACGTGGAGAACTACGATTTCAGTGCATGTTTGCTGTGGTTTTGGGTTAGCATGCTTGATTCTTTCCTATTCTGACCTACAATGTATTATGGAAACTACAGACTGATGGATGTGATTTCCATCCCTGATAAGATGACAGTGTCTATAATAGGGAAGATCTCTGAATACATGACTAAGCATCATCTGAATCAGGAACTCCTGGTTCACAAACCTGCTGTATAATGGTGCAAATAAGTAAGCATTTGCAGAGGAACCCGAGGATGTAATATATCAGGCCTTTCAAAAAAGGCAACTAAATTGTCAGGGGACTTGGAGAAAGTTTATTTTATTAAGTAAAGCTGATAAAGGCTAGGAAGCAACAGGTAGGCTATAACGATCACTTTTCAGGGGGAGAGTCACCATTTGGATCACCTAGGCCTTGGTGCTGAGACCAGTTTTGTTCAGTATTCACCAGTGTCTAACAGAGACCAAACAGGCTGGGGTTGCTCAGATGGGAGAGAAAGGCTGACAGCAGGGTGTGTTTAGGTTATGTAAAATCACAAAGTTGGAAAATAAGATGAATGCAGGACAAGAGTTCACCCAAATCCCGCCTTACAAGAGCTGAGTGGCACTCACTATAAAAGGTACTTCTTTACACATAAGGTAAGAAACTTCTGTAACCTGCTGCCTGGAGGTGACAGTATTTGCAGGGACGAGAAGGAGTTTCCTAGAGAAATTAATGGGCAACAGATTCATAAATGGACACAAAAGGGACCCAGGAGTTACATACCCCCTAGCACTCCCTAAAACAACAGTTGTGGATGCTGGTGGAGTGCAAAGCAGAGAGTTTAGAAACAGGCCAGGCTAGGTGCCCTGCCCAAACAGCATCTCCTGTTGCCACCGCTGGAGTCCCGGTATGGGCAGGGGCCACCTTCAGCGGGGCCCTGCAGAGTACCTTTCGTACCATGCTCAGGTGGCGCAGGTGCTGGGAAGTTTATTCTCCAGCAGTCATCTAATCCCATCACAGGTGTTGCTGTGCTGTCAGCAGCTGTCAGACCCTGGACTAACGGGGAAGCTGGGTGTGGGATTTCAGGGGCGCTCACAGCAGGAGTGAGCTCCCCAGCATGGGGCAAGGGGCACCTAGGCTGCCCTGAGGTTGAAGATTCTTCGGCAGCGCAGGCCTGGGTGAGATTAGTTTACTGATTTGCAGCTGAGTCTGTCCCGACAGATTTGAAACTCACTGTCTACTCCAAAAATGGGGTGCTTTTTGAAGAAAAGCAGATGAGAAGAGAGGAATGATTAGGGAAGATGTTTAATGAAAAAAGTTGTCAAGTTTCACTTGCACAGGCGTTACTAAATGAGTTTTGTATCCTAGTATTATAACTTTGATTTAGTGGCAGAATTTTGTCCTGGTAACATTGATGGGTTGTGTTGTGGGTGTTTGTGGGTTTGGGTTTTTTGTTTTGTTTTGTTTCTGTGGTGTTTTTTTTTTCTTTTTTCCCCTACATCTGTGTGCAGATATCATCAATCTGCATTGAAAAGTGTGATTTCCATAACGGACACTCACCCTTGTGAAAATATGTCTGATGACTTTTTAGCCAATATTCATAATTTGAATCCCATTAAAGCCCCCAGTTAAGACTCATTAATTTAGTTCAGATCCTTTCTGATCCTAGAAGACTTTGCTTATGTTGCTGCATTTTTTATTAGTCATGCAGAACATATTGCACCGCAACTATTTATTTCTACAAAGCTGTGATTTGGCCGAAGAACGCTACAGCAGGTAGAATATGATAAGGAAAGAAAAAAAGTCAGTTTCTTTTTCCATTGGTTTTTAAATAGATTAAACACCAGCAGTTGTAGCACTAAAGGTGTCTTTTCATAGTATTGTTTGCTGTAAAAAAGAGAATATTCAGTATACAGAAAATCAGAAGACTATTTTAACTAAAAGGCTCTAAATTACAAAAAGCTTGAGTAGGAGGAAGAGGTGGTGGAAAGAAACTTGGTGAGAGCAGAAAAGCTGGGAGCAAATGAGGGCAGAGCAGCAGGCTGCCGCTGGGGAGATGTCCAGGCCTCACACTCCTCTTCTGCGAGACCGCACTAGCCGGGAGGAACACGGAGTCAGCCAGGAGGCAGGGGAAGGTGAGTACAGTTTTAAAAATAGTTTGCATTTGTCATTAGTCAATGAAAAGGTGATTTTAATGTACCGCAAGAGAAAGGTAAGGGTGTGGGCACTGAGTGCTCAAAGAGAAGGTGCAATCCTGTGTCAGAAGCCCTGGGGGAGGCCTCAGGTGGGCTGCATCCAGCTGTAGCCTTCATCATGCTCTTCCTCTGAGCAATTCACTTCACCTCTCTTGCCCTCAGCTCTCCAAACAACACACGGGTATTATTACTATTGTAATGAACAGAGCAGGGCAGCAGGGGAGCTGGTGTTGCTCCTTAAATCTGCAGTGGTTTTCATCTTCTAAATGGAAGGGAAGTGCTAAAAGGCCCCTTTACCCCAAAGACCCTGTTAGCTGAGTGCTTGAGGCACTTCTGTACTTTTTGTCTGGTTAGTGATTATGTAAAAGTGGTTTTATCTTATTCAACAAGTCAGAACTCCTGTGGGTATTTAGGATCATATTTTTACAGTGATTAAAAAAAATCTTATGTTTTATGTTCTGTTAGCTTGCATCTCCCACAAAAATGCTGACTGCAAGAAGCCTGTGAGACATGCCTGAAGGCAGGGGGGACACCCTTCCTGCAGTTTGAGGGAGAGTCACAGTGCTGACTTGTTAGTTTGAGAAAAGCTTTTTGCTTCTAAACAGATCACTTTTGACAGAGAAATAATGATGATGAAAAAAAAGAATTCTGTTTGTGGTGATTTCTGTGAAACTGTATTTTAAAGAAGTCTTTTGCCATGAGTTGCATGGGTTTCTCTTGGTCCCGGTACCCATACATGCTTTAGAATGAAAGGCATCATTTATGGTTGATATTATAAATTGGACTATGTGTGGAATTGCTCACAGCCTTCCCTGTCTCAGTGGCTCATTCAAATGCACTCATAAAATTGTAGAAATATGTTTATTGATACTGGTGTCTACTTTTTCAAATAAAGAAACTCAGTACATAGTTTTTCTTTTGTTTTCCTTTGAAAAACAAGGAAGACTGATGTAAAATACCTCTAGAAAATACGCAGTGATAGGTATCTTAGGAATCAGATGCTGATGGTAGCAGAAAGTTGCTGCCTGTCTTCCTACAGAACAGAGTGATAAAGATCACAAAACCAGATACAACCACGCAGTTGAAAGAATTGCAACCAGGCATTATAAAACTCTACTTTTGGTAAACTAAGTTTTAAATTACAGTAAGTGAAAAATCTAAGCTAAATTATTTCCATATGCCTGTGTTAATACAACCTTTATTTTTATAAAGCAAAAGTAAAGCAAAAGTAAATGCAGAGGTGTCCCTTCTTCATGGACACTTCAGCTTCAGAGGAAGTAATCCAATTACTTCTAAAAGCTTCTGTATGAGGATATAGCAGATATTCCTACACCTATCAGTACACCCGCAGCAGTTTGTCAGATGGCAGAGTGGCTGGAGTGTATTTTCCTATGTTAGCCTTAGCTGGTCTTACTGGTCTGCTCTCACTTAGTACCATCGATCAGGGTGAGCATTTCCACCTGGCTCT